GACTCAGTCACACATGGTGCAACAGGTCCTTCAGCGCTTCGACTTCACGTACTCCTCGCCTCAGGCCACTCCTCTGTCTACTCGCCACTCGCTCTCAGCTCTCCCTTTGGATGAGTCCGTAGAGCCGAGTGGCCTGTACCCAGAGCTTGTTGGCTGCCTCATGTACCTGATGACCTGCACTCGACCTGACCTTGCATACCCTCTTAGCATCTTGGCACGCTATGTTGCTCCTTGGAAACACCGACTAGAGCACATGGCTGTAGCGAAGAGGGTGTTGCGCTACTTGTGCAGTACGTTGGGCATGGGGTTAGTGCTTGGAGGGCGGCGTTCAGTGGTCCTCACAGGTCACACAGACGCTTCTTGGGCTGACGACCAGGCTACGCAACGGTCGTCACAGGGTTACACTTTCAGCCTTGGTTCCGGCTCTGTTTCGTGGCGGTCTACCCGCTCGTCTTCTGTTCTCGGCTCGAGCTGTGAGGTTGAGATCTACGCAGGGGCCATGGCTGCACAGGAGCTACGGTGGCTCACCTACCTGCTGACTGACCTAGGAGGGCCGCCTCGTTCTCCTCGAGTTCTGTACGTAGACAACAGGGCCATGCTGGCCTTGTGTCGGGAGCACAGACTGGAGCACAGAACGAAGCACATTGGTCTTCACTATTTCCTTGCTCGTGAGCTGCAGCAACGTGGTCAGCTGCGCCTTGCTTACGTGGCCTCTCAGGCCAACACTGTTGATATCTTTACTAAGGCACTTCCGCCTTGTGATCATCATTCTCTCGTTCTCATCTTCACAGGCGCGTGACCGAAGGACTAGCTGCACGAAGGGAGTCAGACTCTGGGTCAGCAAGAGTAGGAAGAGAGGACTCTGGAGGAGACAGCAACGGGACACGCAGAGGAGCAGTGGAAGGACGCAGTGCCATCTGGTGTGTGCCGGGGACCGCAGGAGGACGCGGACGTGCAGTATGACCACTAGTGCGAGCAGCACGAGCCGAAGGATTGTGCGGCTCGGTGGTTGGGCGTCTCGGCTGCTCGGCGGCTCGGCTGCTGGGCGGCTCGGCGGTCAAGCGGCTCGGTTGCAGGGCTGCTCGGCTGCTGGGCGGCTCGGCGGTCGGGCGGCTCGGCTGCTCTTGGTTTGGCTGCTCGGTGGCTCGGGCGGTGGGCGGCTGAGCGGCGATGGGGCCGTGGAAGGGCGGCGACGGGGCCGCTCAAAGGGCGGCGACGGGCTGCTGAAAGGGCGGTGACGGGCTGCTGGAAGGGCGGGCGGCGACGGGGCCGCTGAAACGGGCGGCGACGGGGCCGCTGAAGGGCGGCGACGGGGCCGCTGGCGGGCAGCAACGGGGCCGCGGAAGGGCGGTGTCGGGGCCGCGGAAGGGCGGGCAACGGGGCCGCTGTAAGGGCGGGCGGCGAGGCCGTGGAAGGGCGGCGACGGGGCCGCTGAAAGGGCGGGCGGCGACGAGGCCGCTGAAAGGGCGGCAACGGGGCCGCTGAAGGGCGGCGTCGGGGCCGCTGGAGGGCGGCGACGGGGCCACGGAAGGGCGGTGTCGGGGCCGCGCAAGGGCGGGCGACGGGGCTGCGGTAAGGGCAGGCGGTGAGGCCGTGGAAGGGCGGCGATGGGGCCGTGGAAGGGCGGCGACGGGGCCGCTGAAAGGGCGGCGACGGGGCCGCGGAAAGGGCGGCGCGACGGGGCCGCAAGGGCGGCGTGACGGGGCCGCAAGGGCAGCACGACGGGGCCGAAAGGGCAGCGCGACGGGGCCGTTAGGGGCCGTAAAAGGGGTCGCTAGAGGCCGCTAGAGGTGGAACGACACGGGGCGCGACTCGGGCAGGGGCCAAGCATGCTTTGGGCCAAGTCGGTGGGCCCTAGGAACAGTTCCCACGAGGGAACCAGCTCTATACCATGTGAAGATGAGAACGAGAGAATGATTGAACTATGAAACAGTTGGGTACAAGTACTAACCATAATTGGGTTGTATCTTTATGGGTTACCCCACTACAGCGTACACAAATGTATAAGCTATAATGTTCTGACACCGCCTGCTCCTCCCGCACATCCCGCGCCTCCGATGCCCCCTTTTCTTTGCCTCTTTCAGCTGATTAGCATTGAAGATGAGTTCATTGAGCAACAGGAGCCTGACGCGTCATTCCCACGCGACCGCCAATTCTCTTTCCCAAGTCTCAACACTAGCATTTGCGTTCATGTAAGTAGTCAATTTTAAGAAGCGTATGTTGAACTGGTTCACGGCTGGATTGCCACGGGCGGGGATGCCGTCCCTGAGAACATCATCATTTGTACTTTCAAGACGTGCAGCATCTCCAAGTCCTTGAATAGGCATGATGCACGTCAAGTGGAGGTGCACAATTGCATGCATGTAGCATGGAGTTTTAGCAATGGGTAAACCTAATGTACGCCAATAACAACCAGGAGGAGGAGGAGGTGGCAGCAATGGCTGAGGAGAGCGGAGAGGAAGAGAAGACAGCTAGCAGTAAGAAGTTGCATGTCTTGCGGGTAGTCTCCTGCATGCCCATACGTTAGATTATTCTACAGTCTAACCATGTAGTAATGAAAACAGTTAAAGATAAATATCATGCATGCTAGAAAATTAAATATTTTGATAAAATAGAGAGACTTGTCGGAGGTCCACTGGTGATCCCCGGTTGATCCTATGGAAGGGTTACAGGCTCGTTGTCCTGGGGGGTTATGGGCGCACTGACCCGCTACTTAACAAGCCCTTTTATCCCAATGGTCTAGTGGTTGGGATTCCAACAAGACTTATATTAAATCGAGTAGAAACCCCATTCCTTTCCTTAAGATGATTTACATATAAAATAACCCATGGACAGGAGGGGAGGTCTTAGGGGGGGAAATTAGAAATATAGTTTAACGGAAATGCCGGTCTTAACAGATACGCGATTTGGAATGAAAAACTCGAGGGTGGCTCTCGTTCAATTAATATGACATTTTAATGTCCTTAATCAATGCATATTTGAAAGTTGATGTGTTCACTTCACATTGGGAACTCTCAAATGGTTTACCTCAAGAATCATATGGCATAGGAGATTGATGTCACAACATTGGAGTCATGAAACGAACCTTTATGCTACTCATACTATCGGAACATTTCATTTGTTAAAATTGCAACTGTAATTGGTTTATACATGTACTCCGGGTTGATCACATATATACCTTAATTATCCGACCAACACCTTCCCCCCTCCCCCCCCGACCCCTCCCATTAGAAGGTATGAGGGTTGTCTCTACTTTTATTATAAAACCCATTCTTTTCCTTTTCCCAACAAACATGCACCTCCCGTACATTAAAGACTCTCAAATTCCGCAAAACTATAGGAAGAAAAAAAAAACAAAGCACCCCGAAATTCCAACCGATAGTCGCCAATTGCCACGCGCTGGTCTCGCGCATGCGAATGGTCAATATTCGTGTCAGAATATTAAAGCTTATACATTTGTGTAGGCTGTAGTGGGGTAGCCCATAAGGGGTACAACCCAATTAGGGTTAGCACTTGTACCCAACTCTTTCATAGTTCAATCATTCCTTCGTTCCAATCTTCACATGGTATACAGCTGGTTCCCTCGTGGGAACTGTTCCTAGGGCCCACCGACCTTTTTTATTTCCTGCCCGGAGCACGCTCGGCCCCTGCCCGAGTCGCGCCCCGAGATGTTCCCCCTCTAGCGGCCTCTAGCGGCCCCTTTTACGGCCCCTAACGGCCCCGTCGCGCCGCCCTTTCGGCCCCGTCGCGCCGCCCCTTCGGCCCTGTCACGCCGCCCTTTACGCGGCCCCGTCGCCGCCCTTTCCTACGGCCCCGTCGCCGCCCTTTCAGCGGCCCCGTCGCCGTCCTTTCAACGGCCCTGTCGCCACCCTTCCACGGCCCCTACGCCGTCCTTCCACGGCCTCGCCGCCCGCCCTTGCAGCGGCCCCGTCGCCGCCCTTCCGCGGCCCCGACACCGCCCTTCCGCAGCCCAATCTCCGCCCTCCAGCGGCCCCGTCGCCGCCCTTCAGCGGCCCCGTCGCCCGCCCTTTCAGCGGCCCCGTCGCCGCCCTTTCAGCGGCCCCGTCGCCGCCCGCCCTTTCAGCGGCCCCGTCGCCGCGCTTCCAGCAGCCCCGTCGCCGCCCTTTCAGCGGCCCGTCGCCGACCTTTCAGCGACCCTGTCGCCGCCCTTCCACGGCCCTGTCGCCGCTCAGCCGCCTAGCACCTGAGTCGCCGAGCAGCCCAGTCACCGAGCAGCCGAGCCGCCGAGCAGCCAAACCGCCGAGCAACCGAGCCGCCCGACCACCGAGCCGCCCTGCAGCCGAGCCGCCCGACCGCCGAGCCGCCCAGCAGCCGAGCCGCCAAGCAGCCGAGCCACCCGCCCACCGAGCCGCCCTACCGCCGAGCCGCCCAGCAGCCGAGCTGCCCAGCCGCCGAGCCGCACCACAGCCGAGGCGCTACCGCCTGTCGGCCTGCCCGGGACCGCCCCACTTGTCTGTTAAGAGCAGCGTCTCTGCCATTACACTGCCCTGCCCCACTGTACTCACTCCCTGTCTACTACTGTCATGGCCTCCCCTAGTGTTCTCACCTTTGACGCTGAGGGTCGGGCAGTTGACTTTGAGGTCTAGGTAGATGATCTGCAGCTTTTCCTACAGTGCGATAGGGCAGACGGCCTCTCCCTGTTTGACCTCACTTCTGGTGCCTCTCCTGCCCCTGCTGCTGATGCTGACGCCACTGTTCGCTCACAGTGGGCCACGCGTGATGCTACTGCTTGCCTTGCTGTGCGCCGCCACTTACCGACCACTGAGCGTGCACACTTTAGCCGGTACAAGAGTGCTCAGACCTTGTACGACGCTGTAGTTGCACGCTACTCTTCCCCTGCCACTGCTGCACTGAGCCGCCTCATGCTACCGTACCTCTTCCCTGACCTTGCTGCCTTTCCCACTGTCGCTGACCTCATTACGCACCTCCGCATTAGTGACACTCGCTACCGCACTGCGCTTCCTGCTGAATTCTGCGCCATGACCCCCCACCCCATGTACATCACCCTCTACTACATAGTCACCTGGCTCCCTGACTGTCTCCGCGTAGAAAGGGACCACTTCCTCTCAGTTTGCCCCACCACTCTCACCGTTGACCTCCTCGAGAAGGCCCTCCTAGCAGCAGAGAAGAGCGTAGTCGCTGTAGGAGCCTCTCGTGGTGACCCTCGCACCCCCGTCTTTGAGGGGTGTTCTCCCTCCCCCCTATTGCCCTCTGTTTCCTCTGATGCTGAAACCGGCCTCGTTGGTTTCGAGTCGGTCGGCGCTGCGTCTGCCACGAGTGGGAAACGCCGCACCGGCAAGGGCAAGGGGGGCAAGGGCACTGGAGGGGCTGGAGGGGGCGGTGGAGGTGGTGGTGGAGGCAGTGGAGGGAGTGGGGGTGGTGGTGGGAGTGGTGCCGGGGGTGGCGGCGGCGGCGGCAGCAGTGGAGGCGGCGGACGCGGTGGTGGTGGCGGAGGGAGCGGAGGCGGCGGAGGGAGCAGAGGCGGCGGAGGTGGAGGACGCGGCGGAGGTGGCAACGGCGGCGGCGGTGGTGGAGCGAGTCGCGACTCTGCGCAGAGGAGTGGCTCAGGTGGTGGTCCGCGCCAGCAGCAGCGGAGTGGTGTGACCCTGTCCCCTCAGCAGCTTCGTGAGTGGAACACTGCGCGTCAGCGTGGTGGGGGTTTTGGTCCCTGCACTTACGTCCTCCGTACCGGCGACCGAGGTGGTGAGCAGTGCGGAGGCCCGCACTCCACCCAGCGCTGCTTCGGTCGCCTGACGGACGCGTGGCATCGCCAGTTCCCCGAGGCGTCAGAGATCCCTCGCTGGGGAGATCTGTCTAGGGCGGGGTATGCTATCTTTGATCTTGATTTTGATGCTATTCTTGCTGCTATGGATGCTTTTGATACTAGTGTTGTGGGTGACTGTAACCTGTGTGAGCCGCTTGATCCGGGCATTGAGGCCGCTGCTCTAGGTGCTGGTGAGGCTGCTGCTCTAGGTGCTAGGGCGTCTGCTGCCCCAGGTGCCAGTGCGTCTGCTGCCCCAGGTGCTGGTGAGTCTGCTCTCTTAGGTACTACGTCGGCTCAGGCCTTCCACAACTTCACCCTTGACTCGGGTGCGTCCCGCTCCTTCTTTCGAGACCGCACCACTCTTACGCCGCTCTGTCGGCCGGTTGCAGTCTCCCTGGGAGACCCCTCTGGGGGACCTGTCCTTCCTAGCTTCTCCACTGTCTTACCGTGCCCGGCAGCCCCCTCTGGCACCCTGTCAGGTCTCTACCTCCCCTCGTTCTCTACGAACTTGGTGAGTGGAGCGGACCTACAGGATAGGGGGGTCAACCAGTTCACTCCCACGAGTCAGCAAGTGACCCACTGCACGTGTGCTCGGACAGGCCGACACTTGGCCACGTTCACCCGTCGGCCAGGGTCGAGCCTGTACACCCTTACAACTGAGTCTCCTCCGGCTGCTAAGTCTGCCCAGGTAGCTACGTCGAGTCAGGTGTTTGCTGCGGCGTCCAGGTCTGGTCCTGAGTCTGCTCCCTGCTCGTGTCGTCTGCTGTCCCACCAGACTCTCCTTTGGCACCACCACCTTGGTCACCCCTCCTTGTCTCGTCTCCGAGGCATGGCCTCCCGTGTCCTTGTCTCTGGTCTCCCTCGGTCTCTCCCTCCCCTTCCTCCGGGGCCTGGCCCTACCTGCGTCCCCTACGTCGAGGGGCGACAGCGCGCCGCCCCTCACTCCTCCGAGTTTCCTCCGACAGAGGCTCTGCTGGAGACTCTCCACATGGACGTGTGGGGCCCAGCCTGTCAGATATATATGACATAGCTATTGTAGGCTATAGTGGGGTAGCACATATGGGGTACAGCTTTCTAGGGTCTGTACTTGTACCCAACTTTCACTTAGTGATTTCATTCTTGTTCAATTATTCACATGGTATCAGAGCAGGTTCCCCTCTGGGAACTGCGCCTAGGGCCCACCACTTCGATTTTTTTTTACTGCCCGAAGCGCAGTCATCCCGAGTCGCGCCTCGGGCTATTCACTCACCGAACCGCCCTAGCGGCCTTCTCTCCCCTAGCGGCCCTGCCGCCCTACGCTTCGCGGCCCCGCCGCCCTGCAATCGCGGCCCCGCCGCCCTTCCTTAGCGGCCTCGCAGCCCCTCCTTCGCGGCCCCGCCGTCCTCCTATCGCGGCCCCGCCGCCCTTCCTTCGCGGCCCCGCCGCCCTTCCTTCGCGGCCCCGCCGCCCTGCTCAAGCGGCCCCGCCGCCCTCTGCTAAAGCGGCCCCGCCGCCCTCTGCTAAGCGGCCGCGCCGCCCTGCTACAGCGGCCCCGCCGCCCTGCACTTCGCGGCCCCGTCGCTCCACTTCAGCGGCCCCGCCGCCCTGCTATCGCGGCCCCGCCGCCCTGCTATCGCGGCCCCGCCCCCCTGCCATCGCGGCCCCGCCGCCCTTCCTTCGCGGCCCCGCCGCCCTTCCTTCGCGGCCCCGCCGCCCTGCTCACGCGGCCCCGCCGCCCTCTGCTAAGCGGCCCCGCCGCCCTGCTTCAGCGGCCCTGCCGCCCTGCACTTCGCGGCCCCGCCGCCCTTCCTTAGCGGCCCCGCCGCCCTTCCTTTGCGGCCCCGCCGCCCTGCTAACGCGGCCCCGCCGCCCTCTGCTAAGCAGCCCCGCCGCCCTCTGCTAAGCGGCCCAGCCGCCCTGCCCTTCGCGGCCCCGCCGCCCTGCTTAGCGGCCCCGCCGCCCTTCCTTAGCGGCCCCGCCGCCCTGCTTGAACGGCCCCGCCGCCTCCCGTAGCGGCCCTGCCGCTCTCCTCTCCTGCCGCGCCACCCGAGCCGCCGCCCACTGCACCACCCTGCAGCATGCACCCGAGCAGCCGACCGCCGCGCCGCCGAGTACCGGAGGAGCCGAGCCGCCTAGCCGCTGTGCAGCCGAGCCGCCCAGCAGCCGGGCCGCCCAGCAGCCGAGCCGCCGAGCCGCCGAGCCGCAGTACTGCCGAGCTGCCCAGCAGCCTGCCGCCGAGCCGCCCAGCCGCCGAGCCGCCCCGCAGCCGAGCCGCCCTACTGCCGAGCCGCCCGACCTGCCCTGTCTGGTGAGCACAGCCCCACAGCTACTGCGTGCCCTTCCCCTACTGCTTGCACTGCTAGTCTATCGTCATGGCTACCCCTAGTGTCCTCGCTTTTGACGCTGAGGGTCGAGCCATTGACTTTGAGGTCTGGGTCGACGACCTGCAGCTGTTTTTACAGTGCGATAGGGCGGACGGTCTTTCTCTCTTTGACCTCACCTCTGGCGCCTCTCCTGCCCCTCCTGCTGATGCTGACCCCACTGTTCGCTCTCAGTGGGCCACCCGCGATGCTGCTGCACGTCTTGCTGTGCGTCGCCACCTCCCTACCACTGAGCGCGCGCACTTTAGTCAGTACAAGAGTGCTCAGACCTTGTACAGGGTAGCCTGCACGAGGACATCTGGCTGCGCCGTCCACCTGGCTTCACTGGGACTTTCCCTCCTGGCACCCAGTGGAGCCTCCGACGGCCAGTCTACGGTCTCCGCCAGGCACCGCGTGAGTGGCACGACACACTGAGGACTACGCTTGCGGCTCTTGGGTTTGCTCCCTCTACTGCTGACCCGTCGTTGTTTCTGCGCACCGACACTTCTCTGCCGCCGTTCTACATCCTCGTGTAAGTCGACGACTTGGTCTTTGCCACAGCTGACACTGCTGGACTCGCCTACGTGAAGTCCGAGCTGCAGAAGAGACACACGTGCATAGACCTGGGTGAACTGCGCAGCTACCTTGGCTTGCAGATCACTCGGGACAGAGCACGCCGCACCATTACCTTGACTCAGTCACACATGGTGCAGCAGGTCCTTCAGCGCTTCGGCTTCACGTACTCCTCGCCTCAGGCCACTCCTCTGTCTACTCGCCACTCGCTCTCAGCTCTGCCTTCGAATGAGTCCGTAGAGTCGAGTGGCCCGTACCCAGAGCTTGTTGGCTGCCACATGTACCTGATGACCTGCACACGACCTGACCTTGCATACCCTCTTAGCATTCTTGCACGCTATGTTGCTCTTGGGAGACACCGACCAGAGCACATGGCTGCAGCGAAGAGGGTGTTGCGCTACTTGTGCAGTACGTCGGGCATGGGGCTAGTGCTTGGAGGGCGGAGTCCAGTGGTCCTCACTGGCCACGCGGACGCTTCTTGGGCTGACGACCAGGCTACGCAGCGGTCGTCGCAGGGTTACACCTTCAGTCTTGGTTCCGGCTCTGTCTCGTGGCGGGCTACTCGCTCGTCTTCTGTTCTCGGCTCCAGTTGTGAGGCTGAGATCTACGCCGGGGCCATGGCTGCACAGGAGCTTCGCTGGCTCACCTACCTGCTGACTGACCTTGGAGAGCCGCCTCGTTCTCCTCCAGTGCTGTACGTAGACAACAAGGCCATGCTGGCCTTGTGTCGAGAGCAGCGCTTGGAGCACAGAACGAAGCACATTGCTCTCCGCTACTTTCTTGCTCGGTAGCTGCAGCAGCGTGGACAGTTGCGACTTGCGTACGTGGCCTCTGAGGCCAACACTGCTGATGTTTTCACCAAGGCACTTCCGCCTTGTGATCATCAGCGCTTCTGTACTCAGTTGGGACTTGTCCCAGTCTTGCCTCACTTGCTCACCTCTTGACTTTGCTTGTACTCTTGCATTTATATATTCCTACTCTTGCTTGTTTAGCCTTATATATATATGTCTCCTCCCGCATGTGAACTGGCCTTGTGGCCTTGACCTTGTGCTCGGACTGTGTGGTGACTTTGTGATCCACTCTGAGCTTGCTTTGCTTTGCTTTGCTTGACTGGTCTTGTGACCCCTTGTTCTCCCCCACTTTGCCTATGGGGGTGTGTCAGATATATATGACATAGCTATTGTAGGCTATAGTGGGGTAGCACATATGGGGTACAGCTTTCTAGGGTTTGTACTTGTACCCAACTTTCACTTAGTGATTTCATTCTCGTTCAACTATTCACACAGCCCGCGTCAGTGGGCAGGGGCGCGAGCGGTACTTCCTGCTAGTGGTTGACGACTACTCGCGTTACACCCAGGTCTTCTCCTTGCGCAGCAAGGGTGACGTCACTGAGGTGTTGATCGACTGGATCCGCGCAGCTCGTCTCCAGCTCAGAGAGAGTTTCGGCTCGGACTTTCCTGTTCTGCGTCTACACTCGAACAAAGGCAGGGAGTTTTCCTCTGCCCGTGTGGGAGCCTTCTTAAAATGTTGCACACGCTAGGCTCTTGTTCTTGCTATTTTGCACACGCTAGGCCCTTGTTCTTGCTATTTTGCACACACTAGGCCCTTGTTCTTGCAATTTTGCACACGCTATACACTTGTTCTTGCAATTTTGCACACGCTAGGCCCTTGTTTTTGCTATTTTGTACACGCTAGGCCCTTGTTCTTGCAATTTTGCACACGCTAGGCCCTTGTTCTTGCAATTTTGCACACGCTATACACTTGTTCTTGCAATTTTACACACGCTAGGCCCTTGTTCTTGATATTTTGCGCACGATAGGCCCTTGTTCTTGCTATTTTGCACACGCTAGGCCCTTGTTCTTGCAATTTTGCACACGCTATACACTTGTTCTTGCAATTTTACACACGCTAGGCCCTTGTTCTTGATATTTTGCGCACACTAGGCCCTTGTTCTTGCTATTTTGCACACGCTAGGCCCTTGTTCTTGCAATTTTGCACACACCAACCCCTTGCTCATGTGAGGCCCTTGTTCTTGCAATTTTGCACACACTAGGCCCTTGTTCTTGCAATTTTGCACACGCTAGGCCCTTGTTCTTGCTATTTTGCACACACTAGGCCCTTGTTCTTGCAATTTTGCAAACGCTAGGCCCTTGTTCTTGCATTTTTGCACAAGCTAGGCCCTTAGTCTTGATATTTTGCACAGGCTAGGCCCTTGATATTGCAATTTTGCACACGCTAGGCCCTTGTTCTTGCAATTTTGCACATGCTAGGCCCTTGTTCTTAATATTTTGCACACGCTAGGACCTTGTTCTTGCTATTTTGCACACGCTAGGCCCTTGTTCTTGCATTTTTGCACATGCTAGGCCCTTGTTCTTGATATTTTGCACAGGCAAGGCCCTTGATATTGCAATTTTGCACACGCTAGGCCCTTGTTCTTGCAATTTTGCACATGCTAGGCCCTTGTTCTTGATATTTTGCACACGCTAGGACCTTGTTCTTGCTATTTTGCACACGCTAGGCCCTTGTTCTTGCATTTTTGCACTTCCGCCAGACCTTCATGCTTCCGACCTCTCCACAGCAAAATGGGATTGCTGAGCGCCGCATTGGCATGGTCATGGACATCGCTCGTATGTCCATGATGCATGCGGCTGCCCCCCATTTTCTGTGGCCGTTTGCGGTTCAGTACGCCGCGCATCAGCTCAACCTTCAGCCCCGGGTCTCCTTGCCAGAGACCTCCCCCGCCTTGCG